GGGGGAGGGGGGCTTCTTTCTTACATCGATATCATTTAAAAAAAGTTTAAATTATATAAATTGAAGTGTAAGCTATTAGGGAGTTTAAAAGATAACTATAGGTATTTGTGCAAAAAATGTGAGATTAGTAACTTATAATAATAGAATACTTGTTGCAACGGATTAATATACTAATAATATGACAAGTTTTTAACACTACTAGTATACATTAGTTAAATTTATTATTATTTTTAAATTGTGATGAAATGGAAGCGTAAAAGACGATAGTGAAGAATGGTAAAAGATTAGAAGATATTTTGGTAGATGTAACCCTTCACTTCAAAAGTTCACGATGAAATTACACTTAGTTTTTCATGCTATTTTACAAATCAAACAAACGCTAATATTGCATTATCATTTGAGTCAACTACATTCTCAAATCAAAACATTGACTTTAAACTGCAAGATATTACTTACAAATTAACTTTGGGAACTTTATGCAGTTAATCAACCATTTCATAACAGAAATGCATTAAGATGTGCTTAACTATTTCGATTAATTTGAGAAACAACTCAAGGAGTGAGGCACAAGCCTCTCACCAGGATCGCCTTGTAGTTTATTTAAGAATGAGCAAAGACATTAGAGAAGTTTCACACCGTATTTGCCTCTTTTTCCCCCTTGGAAGTCAGCAAAATTATGTTTTAAAATTGAAGAATTTTCATAAACCACTACAATTAGAGACTAGTTACCGTACATAATTATACTACAACAACAACAACCCAGTATAATCTCACTAGTGGGGTCTGGGGAGGGTAGTGTGTACGCAGACCTTACCCCTACCATGAAGTAGAGAGGTTGTTTCCAATAGACCATCGGCATCCTTCCCTCCAAGAACTCCCCACCATGCTCTTTGGTTGACCGTACATAATTATAATTTGCCTAATTATCATTTGTAGCTACTATTTAATTGCTATCAGCTTGTATCACTTGTATTCAGATGCACAACGAATACGGCATGTGTCAACTGTATTCGTTCACACAACGAATACAACCAAGGCGAAATACAAGAGTGTATACAAAGGATACAACTTGTATCGATTGTATTCGTATCGATTCGTTCGCATAACGAATACAACCAAGACAAAATACAGAAATATAGAAAAATAAAATTTTAAGAATAGTAATTTTCTGAAAGTATAGTTACGAATGATAAATATAATGTATATATTTGTTGTGTCGTAATTTTTCTTTAAAAAATAAATAGAGAATGGCATTAGTAAGTTTCTGCTATTTGGGCTTTCCAGCAGCAGAGGAGGATGCAGCCCACTTTCTCACTGGATATAACTTTGGACTAATAAGAAGCTATTTCAAGCCCTAACTACAGAAAAACAGTCACATGAATCGAAAGTCCAATTCCGATCTATTAACATGAAGTATTAACCCAAATAGCCGGTCACCCAACCGATTAAATTAAAAATAACCGGTGGAGGTATGCATAATTTATATTTTATATATATATATATATATATATATAATCTACGTATATGGCTAAACAAAGTAAACAATGAATATGGGTGGCTATTTGTTTAAAGATCCCTATTAACAACAGTTGGACTATCCGGTCTGTCTGCGGCATATTGAGCTGCAACTTTCATGAGAAATTAGACTCATCAGTTTTGAGAAATTAACTTAAATAGGCGTCCACTCAAAAAAAAAAAAAAAGGCAAATATATAATAGATGTATACTAATATATATCGGGTGTCTCGAAGGGACATAGGCCCATCAATTGACGCATAAAGCAAGGTAAAATGTTTGTCCAACTTGAGTGTGGGTGTTTAAGTTATGTGCATTGACATTGTATGATATTGAGTTTAACTTACATACATAGCCCAAAAGAAATTACAGTAACCCTTCAAAAAAAAGTAAGATTTGCAATCTTGAAAATAAGGTAAGTTACTTGTTACAACATATAAAAGTGACCAGATAATATAAAAGTTATTTATATTATCAGGTGGTTATTAATTAAACTTGTAATTTTTGTGGTACACCTTATACAATAATGAATAACTATTCATAGCAAGTCTTATTTGGTAACTTGAAATAAAGTAATGATCTTATTATATTGGATTAAAGCACTGATAATGTAAAATTCTCTATATTACCTTGAAGTCGATGCATATGGCTAATTTTTCTGGGACTAATTTTAAGCATTTTATGACAAGTATTATGCAGTTCAGAGCAAATTATTCCTTTTCTAAGAACACCGAAAATCCTATATTGCATTACCTTATACCTGTCGAAGAACATGATGACAAATTAATATATATATTTACACGCGCGATAAGATTTTTGAGAAGCAGCGCAGAGGCCTTACTTTGCCTTCTATAAAATATATAAATATATGTTATATAGTCAGACCTCTCTATAACAACATCTCAAGTTTTCCTCATCACCGATTTGTTAAGTTATATTTTACCTCTCTATAACAGCTTTTTACCTATAACAACAACAATTATATTTATAGCAGAACACTCTTTGTAGAATTACCACTCTATAACAGCTATATCTAATCTTTAAGGTTACTAATAATAATTTTAAAAATATGCACACAATCTTTTCTATTGAACAAAGTTTTGACTGTATATTCATCCCAATGTATGAGTTAGTATTTGACTAATAAGCACGAAATTTACGGAAAAACTAATTTTAGAACTTGTGATCTGAAACAAAATCATACAAATTTGTGTAAATAAAATAAAAATTTTAAAATTAAACTATTTCTAAATAAGAAATTATAATATTTTTGGAATAAATTAAAAAAAAATATGACACATTATTTAAATAGAGAAAATAATAATAGAGGCTATGCAATTCTAGTTTTGGTTGTGGTCAACATCGGCCTATATGTCATAACAGCTGCACTTGCTTCGTTGGGGTCAGTAGTCATCACTCTCTGATCTCTGTTATTATACAAATTCAAATAGCAACAGATGATCCAGCTAATACCACTTCCCAAGCTTTCAAAACATAGCAGAAAATAAAGACAATGCAAAACCTGACATATACTATATCCAATTAGGTTGCGCCCATAGGCTAATCAATTATTGAAGTAAATGAATTCCAAGTATTGCAATATTCACTATTCTTTTGTGACTGTTGTGTATATATATATATTCGTTTTTCCTCCAAAATGTTGTATATATATAGTCGTAAAAGTGCAATCTGCCCTTGAACGTGCCTATAAATATTAACCTTTTCTTTTGAGTCTATAAGTAAATATCTTGACCTTTTCATGAACATGCACGCACTCCTTATCAGATCTCTCTTTGTTTTTATCGTTTGATGA